CTGATTCCCGTTCCACCTGAAAGCCAAAACTTCTCACCATTAATTAACCTGCAACTGCAAGTCCAGAGTAGTTTAATTCACCAGCAGTACAAAGAACAACAATCAAATATATCAAAATTCAAGGATTTTAAGTCTACTCAATCTGTCTTGATTCTATCTAATGGCGGTTACCACATCAAATTTTGCAACATTGATCTTGACTATCACCATCTGGCATCGGCCGCCTCTACACACCGCCGGTTGCTCTTCGGGGAGTACATTCTAACTTGTTATAGGAAGGATTTTTTATCTTGTAAGTATACAGTGATGTAAATGGTTTTTATACACTTCATAGTAGTTTAAGACTTAAAAGCCCGAAATATGTCATACTTGAGCATCAATGAATATGAGTTCAAGTGACTTGATTTCTTTCTGATCTGCTTTCATGTACATCTTCCAGATTGACATGACAAGAACCACGATTCTGAAGTGTGGACTTTTGGTGCTTATCAAGCCGTTAATGTCTGCAATATACCTCTGAGCAGCAACCATTGAAAGGTAATGAAGAGCAAGAGAGGTACCAAAGACTGAAAGGGATGATTCAGCGTGATTTGATGGTGGTTCACTGGTGGCTATACCTCGTGCCATATAAACATATTTATACAGGTATTTGATAGCCTTGATATGCATGGTTGTTTGATGATCAATGGCAAGTAAATCTGTTTTATTTTTCAAAATATGATCGGATATGCATTCAGAATACATGGATATATATATATATATATATATATGCATATTTTTGGGTTTAATTTGCTTTCTGATTATGACTATCTTTTAAATAAATAAATGTTGATTGATTTCTGTCTCTGAGTTTTACTCATGCTTATGATGAAGAATGAATCTGGACACCAACATAGCTTCATTTGTTAATGCTTGGTGATGGTAACTGTAAAATTTTATCCTTTTTTGTAGGGCTTTGATCAGGGAGAGATAATTCGGACGCGTGAATCATTAAAGAGAAGAATTAGAATCAGATCATCACTATAATTGTAGTTTTTTTTAAAAAAAAAATTTAAACTTCAATGTAACAGTTTAAAGGATGGGAAATCCTTAAACTGAGGGGTGTTAAAGGGGAACATTTATTTCCTGGACTGTATATCCCTTAAATTAGAGAGGGTTTAACGTGATCATCGTTATTTTGTTGTATTTTACCGGATTATTTTACATTTTTTACAAATTTGTAGATAGAAGTTTGTAATTTTTTATCCGGTTTAAGGGATGCCACGTGGCTTCTTTTTTTTGCGAAACATGGAGTTTTTTGGTTTAGGCGGAAAAAAAATCTCTATGAAACTAATATGTGTCCTAAGTGTCTATTGCTTTCATGAAGTGTAAAAGGATTTTTAAATGGACAATAATTTTAAGGAGGAGGGAATAGTCAATGTCCATTAGTTACTCCTAGCTTCTATTCTGCTATTAAAATTCTCACTTCTCGGAAGTTTGAAAAGGGTGCATATTATGTGTTTGATTTTAGGTAAGTAGTTGAACTATTCTTCTCAAATCACTTCCGAGATGCAATGTTCTTGAAAGTGGAGAGATTTAGCATTTCACGTAATACTATTATCAAACCTCTTAAGCTTTTTCCAAAGACTAAGGTGCTTTGGACGACGTCTGCCCAGTTCACACTAGGGCTCACACTATAACTTCAAAATATAAAATAAATTACACATCAAAATAATGAAATTATATCCTACTAAACCTAATTAAGCCTTTATTAAAGGACTACATAAAATTCTATTTTACAGGATCTTTACTAAGGACTAACTAAAAATCATCTACTGACTGCTACAAATGGTGTAGACCTTTGCCGGAACATTTCCCTGCAACCCTGTAAAAAATATCCTAAAGGGGTGAGCTAAGCCCAGTGAGGTCCTCAGTTTAGAAAACATTTTCAAGCAACACTCGGGGGATCACATGCACGCAAACGAAATCAACAGGAAAATTAAATCAGGCCCATGCACAGATAATTCTCAAACAACAAATACGACTTCGCGCAAAACCACAAACAAATCGAGACTTAGCCAGACCACACAGCAAGCTATAGTCTCTCAATGCGAGGATTTAGCCAGTCCATACAGCAAGCTGCAATCCTCAACTAATGGACTTAGCTAGACCACACAGCAAACTAAAGTCCATAAAACACTAAGTACGGATTTAGCCAGTCCACACAGCAGGCTTTAACTCAAATAACACTAAGCTAGGATTTAGCCAGACCACACAGCAGGTTATAATCCCATATAATACACACATCACACAGAATCACAAAGTCATGGACCAAAGTCCCAAATATCACACGAACACAAATCACTCGGTCGCAACAAAAGCACACCAGCACACTCACAAGCCAATCCACAACCATAGTTTACAAAATGAAAATAAAATTCAGAAAGAAAGTGACAATTTTAAGTTTAGAAATAGATGAGGAACACTCACCTGGTTGATGAATTTCTACACCCAGCTATCAAATATATACCGACTCTAAATCCCTGAAATCTGCATTTATATACTATTGTTAACGCTCTAAGATAATTGTTTTGTTCAAAGTTTCTTATCATAAAGTACTTAACGTGATTCTGTTATCAAGACTACCTGTTACTTTCAGTAATTACTAACCTAGGGTGATTATATTTATATTTAGGTAATTATTTTCATGTATGTAAATCAAGCCATTGTATGTACCATAATGCATCTATTATCGACATCCAATGACAAAACTAGAACTATATCATTATGATTATAATTATCATTTTCCAAGTACATCCTTGTTTTAAAACCTTAGTTCTTAATAAGCCAATTCCAGGTTCATGACTAATTTACAAGTTTAAGAACATGTATAGTTTTCCAACCCGAGGAGACCTACCTAGGACAGAGAATCCTTAACCATGTTCTCTTTTTATTAATGAAACAATTAATTAGATTCAGCAAGAAAGAAACAATTGAAGTTAATTAGTTTTTCTTCTTCCTCTTTTTTTTTTTTCTTTTCCTTAAGTTCAAGCCAAGCCAGCTTAGCATAACTCCTTTTTACTCACTCCAGGTTGCCACTTTCCCCCTGTTTTAGCTGAATAAACGACTCTGCTATTTCCCCTTTGTCTTCTTTAATTCCTAATTTAAAGAGCACAAAGAGAACAACCTCTTGGTATCTTTTGTTCCCTATATTTCCAACCTAAATTGGAAGAAAACTAATCAGCAACCTCTAACCTAGATATCATTGGTCATCTTTGATTCATGACATGGACTTAGCTACTCCATTTAATTTAATTATCTAATATGAGCGAACAACGGAATCTAAAATAAAAACTTGCAAATGTCAAAACCCACAACCTCAATCGGCAACCCACAAAAGGTTAAGAAACCTTTTAATTCTTTGTTAATCAGCAATCCTAATTCATCATAAGTCTCCTCATTGTTAATCGATAATGAAGCTACTGTAAATACAAAGTGGATCTAAATTAAAACAAATTGAAGCCGATTGAATTACCTCTTTCTATTTAATCCTCGTTCCTCCCGTACGTTTTAGCTCCCTAGCTGACCCTCCCTTTTACTCTTCAATTTATAATGTCTAAGAACCTGAAGGTGGTGTAGATAATTGGGAAAAAATGGTCGCTCGAGTGATAGAGGAAGGAAGAAAATAGAAGTGAGAAGAAGAAGGGAGAGATGTTGGATGATGCAGATGAGGATGGTGGTGGGGTTGGGATTTTCTTTTGACGAGGATGGAGATGAATTGTTAATTTGATTAAGTGAGGAAAGGGCTAAAGAAAAGGTGCATGGTCAAAACAAAATACCCAAGAGAAATGGTGGGATGAATTGGGGAAGGGGCTAACAGCAATTGAAGAGTCTCCTGAAAGTGTGGCAGCTTCTTGGATGAAGAAGCGGTTTTTTCGTCGAAACTCTTGTCGGGGTTCTGCCTCCAGAGAAGGATTCCGTGCCCTGCAACTTCCTTCTTAGGCTGCTCCGCACTGCTTGCATGGTTAATGTTGAGCCTACTTACAGAGCAGAGCTGGAAAAGAGAATTTCGTGGCAACTTGACCAAGCCTCTTTGAAAGAGTTGATGATACCATCATTTAGTCACACCTGTGGGACATTGCTGGATGTTGAGCTTGTTCTTAGATTAGTGAACAGGTTCTTGAATTTGGATGGAACTTTCAGAAGTGGAGCTGCAATGATGAAAGTGGCCAAACTTGTGGATTCTTACCTTGCTGAAGCTGCTGTAGACTCCAACTTGGAGCTTTCTGAATTCATTGCTCTTGGTGGAGCTATCCCTGCTCATGCTCGCTCCACAGATGATGGCTTATACAGAGCCATTGATACCTACTTGAAGGTAAATTAGGTTAGATCAACTCAGGTTCTCAACTAGTATCACATGCTTCCATATCCAATTATCCATAGTTCATATCATCTCTGCTTCTTCTGTGTTTAAGTTGCCTTAGATTTGTGGCATGTCCTGTTTGCAACTTTGCATTATCTCAGAAAAAAGGTGAACATTATTGAAAAATAAAAATGAGTCATTGAATGGTCACCATTACCAGATTGTTGACATATCAGAGTTTCTGCTTTCAAGTCATTGAAACAGATGAGTCTTACCCAGACAAACAGTATAGCTTAAAGGGATAAACTAAATCAGGTTTGGCCTGTGATACTGTCCTCACTTGGAAGGCTTTGAAAAGTGGTTACCCACGGGTGTCCTCCTTTTTTACTCTTTCCCACTTTTATTTCCCTGTAATAATTGAGGGGTCCTCACTCCTCAGGCCTTACTGCGGCTACTGGCAATTTGCATGAAGCCAAGAACACATCTTTTTTTCCTTCACTAACATCTTGCCAAAGCCAGCATTTTCATTTTCTCCAGTTCCAATTGCCAAGCCAAAACATGTAGACAATAGTTATGGTAGATTTAAGGCCACACAAAACAATGTGATGTATAGGTAACCACTACCTAGCTAGCTTTAACTGATGAGTAAAATGTGGAAATGGAACTAATTAGGCCTAATAAAAACTGTCAGGCACATCCGGGAGTGTCAAAGCCAGACAGGAAGAGCTTATGCAGGCTAATAGACAGCCGGAAACTCTCACCGGAGGCCTCATTCCATGCGGCTTCAAACGACCGGTTACCGGTAAGAGCAGTAATCCAAGTACTATTCTCAGAGCAAGCAATGATCAACAAACAAATTGACTGGAGTGGATCATTCAGCGGGATGCGCAGCCCGAGCACGGGCATTGCAACCCCCGGCCCGGTGTCTTTCGAAGAGGGAAATGAATGCTCAGCAGCTGGAAATAAAGAAGCTGAAAGAAGATGTTTTGAGGCTACAGAGCCAATGCATGAACATGCAGGGACAGATTGAGAGACTGTTGGAGAAAAAGAGAGGGATTTTCAGCTGGAAGAAGATTGGATTTGCCATCGTTTAAGAACAATAATAACAAATTTGCAGATGGTGAAGGAGAAGTTGAATTTAGCGGGTTTGTGAGACGCACCCCTGCTGTAGATATGAAGAACAGGGTTGTGAAAGGCAAAACTCCATTGAGATGGAGGAAATCAGTGTCTTGAAGAAAACAGTAAACTCTGTAAACCTTGATTCATTTGTTAAACTGTATGGCTCCTCTTAATTGTAGACTTTGGAACTAATTTAGTGTTTCCATCTTTGTACTTAAAATAATACTCCCTCCGTCCCATAATTATTGTCCACTTTGCCTAAAAAATTTTGTCCCAAAATTATTGTCCAATTTGACTTTTTATGGATCAAGTTACACATTTGTCCTTAGTAAAAAACATTATCCATAAAAATCTTTGTGGTTAAACAATTACTTATGTAGGGGTATATCCGGTTGTTTAAAGTAAAATATAGTTAAGTTTGCCTAAAAATAAAATTTTTCATTTTAGTAAAATTGGACAATAATTATGGGATGGAGGGAGTATCACTTAGTTGATTGAACATTTGTGTAATAATAGCAAGATTCATTTATACCTGGAAGAACTCTTTTGAGTTTTGACCAATACTTTTTTGTGCTTCAAACAGCGCTGCTTAACCAAATGTAGAAGTATACAAGTCTCAAACCAGGAACATTGTTTCTATAAACCGGTCACAAAATAAAAATCTAATTTCGTGATTTATTTTAATCAATAAACACTTTTTTAAAAAAAAAAAATTTTTTTTGAGGTAGAGTAAATACTACAATTTAAGATGTCATTATTCTTCCATTACTAGGAAAAAAATGCTAAATACTTCTTTCAAGAGTCATTTTGAGACCGAAGAAATATTTTTTTTCTTGTGGACAATAATATTGAGTTAACTACTAGAATTCGTCTAAAACCTTTGTAAAAAGTTCATTGTCAACATTTCCTTGCTTGTCAACTTGAAGTAACTAAACGATGTCGTCTGGGTTGTAAAAATGGACATTATCCCCGTAAATTCTCTGTTTCTTTCTGCCATTTCTGAGCCATTGGTTAAACCTCTCCTAAAACCCCCAGCTTCAGACCATCAATCCCAACAATGCTTAGCTTCTGTAACACCTCAAATGGCGCTCTCTGCTCAGACTCCAACCATATCTCTCCACTCCGAACACCTCAATCCCTCAGTGTCCAACTTCCATTGTCCCAAGTCTCTACCTTTTTCTAACCTTACCCAGAAAAATCCTCACTTTCCACTCAAAAAAACTCCAAATACCTCATTTTTCTACTCCTCCGGCCACCAGATTGCCGAACCCAATTCGCGTATTACCCAGCTTTGTCTAGATAATCAGCTGGACGAAGCCATAAGAATTCTGAAGTCGCTTCAGAATGACCCTCAAAATAGTTTGGACGAGGATACTTTTATTTCTGTTATTAGACTCTGTGAATTCAGAAGGGCTTGGGATGAGGGGTGTTTAATTTATGAATACGCATTGAATTTTGCGTCCCATTTGAGTTTGAGATTGGGAAATGCATTGTTGAGCATGTTTGTGAGGTTGGGGAACTTGAGTGATGCTTGGTATGTGTTTGGGAAGATGGAGGATAGAAATTTGTTTTCTTGGAATGTTTTGATTGGTGGGTATGCTAAAGTGGGTATTTTGATGAGGCCCTGGATTTGTACCATAAGATGATGTGGGATGGAGTTTGGCCTGATGTTTATACTTTTCCTTGTGTCTTAAGATCTTGTGGGGGATTGAGTGATTGGGAAAGGGTTAGAGAACTTCATGCTCATGTGATCAGGTTTGGGTTTGAGTCGGATGTTGATGTCAATAATGCAGTGATCACTATGTATGTGAAGTCGGGTAACCTGGCTTGTGCGAGAAGGGTGTTTGATGGAATGCAGAGGAGAGATAGAATATCTTGGAATGCTATGATTTCGGGGTATTTTGAGAATGGTGAGTGTGTTGAGGGGTTGCAGCTGTTCTTTTTGATGCGGAGTTCTGTTTTGAGCCAGACTTGATGACCATAACCAGTGTGATCTCAGCATGTGAGGTCCTTGGTGATGAGAAATTCGGTAAGGCTCTTCATGGATTTGCCGTAAAAAATTATTACGGGGTTGATGTTTCTGTGGGTAACACATTGATTCAGATGTATTCAAGTGTTGGAAATTGGGAGGAAGCTGAAAAAGTCTTTAATGGGATAGAGTTGAAGGATGTGATTTCTTGGACAGCAATGATTTCAGGCTTTGAGAGCAATGGCTTGCCTGAGAAGGCTGTGGACACCTATAAATTGATGGAGATGGATGGTATTGTGCCAGATGAGATCACCATTGCCAGCGTTTTGGCTGCGTGTGCTTCTTTGAGTCTTTTGGATATGGGTGTTAAAGTTCATGAGCATGCTAAAAGCACAGGTCTCATATCATATGCTATAGTTGCGAATTCTCTCATTGATTTTTATTCGAAGTGTAAATGCATTGATAAAGCTTTGGAAATATTTCATGAGATGCCTAACAAGAACGTGGTATCTTGGACTTCAATTATTCTGGGGCTCAAAGTTAACAACCGAAGCTTTGAATCATTGTTTCATTTCAGGCAGATGAAACTCAGTGTAAATCCTAATGACGTTACCTTGATTTCTGTTCTTGGTGCATGCGCTAGAATTGGAGCATTAATGTGTGGGAAGGAGATACATTCTTATGTGTTGAGGAGCGGGCTGGAACTAGATGGTTTTCTACCCAATGCATTTCTAGACATGTACGTGAAATGTGGAAGGATGGTCCCTGCCTGGAATCTGTTTAATATGCAGAAACAGGATGGTGCAGCATGGAATATTCTGCTTACAGGATTTGCGCAGCGAGGGCAAGGTGCTCAGGCCATGGAACTATTTGGAAGGATGTCACACTTAAAGGTAGAGCCAGATGAGATTACATTTATATCTCTATTATGTGCTTGTAGTAAATCAGGAATGGTCACTGGAGGCTTGCATTTTTTCGAGAGTATGAGAGATGTGTATAACATAGTTCCAAATCTGAAGCACTATGCTTGTGTAGTTGATTTACTAGGCCGTTCAGGCCAGGTAGATGATGCTCTTGAGTTTATACAGAAGATGCCTATTAAACCAGATGCCGCCATATGGGGAGCTTTGTTAAATTCCTGTAGAATTCATAGATGTCTTGACGTGGGGGAAATTGCAGCAAGACATTTATATGAATTGGATGAAGAGTTTGTAGAATACTATGTCTTGTTGTGTAACTTCTATTCGGAGTGTGGTAAATGGGATGATGTTGCTAGTCTGCAAAGGATGCTAAGAGAGAAAGGGGTAACTGTCGATCCTGGATGCAGTTGGGTCGAAGTAAAAGGGCAAGTTCATGCTTTTTTGACTGGTGAAAATTTCCATCCCCAAATTAAAGAAATGAATTCAGTTCTAGAAGGATTTTATGACAAAATGAAAGCAGAAGGTTTGTCTGATCCTCAAACCAACTCCTTGAATGAAGATTCAAAAGCTGAGGTTTTCTGTGGACATAGTGAGAGATTGGCTATTGCATTTGCCCTGATAAACACAGTCCCTGGAATGCCCATTTGGGTAACTAAGAATCTATACATGTGTCGAAGTTGTCATAGTACAGTAAAATTTATTTCCAAGGTTGTTCGGAGAGAAATATCTCTTAGGGATACTGAACATTTTCATCATTTTAAAGATGGAAAGTGTTCATGTGGAGATGAGGGCTTCCAGGGTGCTTATTAGGCGAAAAGTAGTCCAACTTCGGAGGAAATTTTGAATGGCAGCAAGATATGTTGCATTGCATCTGAATGTACAATTCCACATATATGGAGCTGTTTTAAAGTTTTATTTTGCCGAAAAAAGACCATACTCATCATTACCAGCGAAAAGGTGCACGCGTTGTCCTTGTTTGAGATATGTAGTATACATCAATTTGTTCCCCATATACACACTGTAACTTAGGTGTTGGAGACTGGATTAATTGATAGTCAGTTAATATGCCATGTACACTGGTTAGCATAGTTGATAGATGGCTACAGAGGATATACAAGATGACGGATTCCCCCTGTGTAAACTTTTTGACAGTACTATGTTGTAGCAGCACTTTTGTACAAAATTTGCATGTCATATCTAAGCCAATTGCCTACCAACTCTGAACACTGAACTCTGAACTCTAATTTGGCTTCTATTCTCTGGGTTCTTTCTCCTTCCCTCGTCGATGGCTTCCTCTCTTATCTTCTTTCCTAATTCCCCAACAAAGTATTGATTCGTTGCAGAATTTTTCTGGCTGAGGGAACTGCCTGGAATTTGACAAGGTTTGATGGAGCAGTAAAGTAAGAGTGGTTATCACAATTTGACTGGAAGTTTATTACTTTAGTTTAGTTATAACAGAGTCTTCTCTATGACGGGTATGCTATACATCACCATTATTATTGAAGGAGTTTTTATTAATCTAGAACACTAGAGCCCGCGATGAAACGCCATCAAAATAACAATAAAGTCAGATTTCAGGTGTGAAGAACACAAGGTAGGGGTTATGTGGTTTAGATGCTCAGCAACCGAAAGTCAAGTCCAAACTTGACTTGAACATGATATCATTATGCTTACTTATACGTCTACTCTAATAGTTAAAGACCTTAAATTTTTGCCTCGTGTAAAGCAAATGAAATAAAATTAAAGGTAAACCATGCATAGTTTACACCTTAAACATTAGTTTTATGTTTCTTTCACATCGATAAGATAATCCATTTTTGGTTCATCATGTAACTTAAAACAAACTCGAACGACCGATCTATTTCATTCAGCACTCCACAAACACATAAGGTCTGTCTGCCCTAATGTCTTAACTAAGAAAAAACAAAATAATAACTTAATAAATTCACACTCAATCCCACACTCAATCCCTATACTGTCCTAGAACAACACACATAAGATGTTACAATGACAATCAAGAAGATATTCCTTATTTGTTCAGAGTTCAACAAAGAGCATAGTGTTGTGATAAATGCGGCTGATGGTTCTACTGCTTTTTGCCGTTCTAGCTCCTTACATGGTCACCATGGGGAATCTACCATCTTTGTCGCGTCGGATATGGGCCTTTTGCCACTCAATCATATTGTCGGCGGAGATGACCTTACTCCACCTATACCTAGCTACGTGGTAAACGCTCACGTAATCGCCACATTCCGAAGCTCCATATGCAGCCCAACAGATTGCTTTTTTTGCCAACTTTGCAGCTTCTCCAATAGTCATATGGTAGTGAAACCTATAACCAGCACAATTTAAAGCCAAATTAAATTAGTTCTGATTGAAAAAACGTATCACCTCCTTCAAATTATAAAGCAATGCATTGGACGACCGCCATGTTTTCAAGCATCGCAAGTGTTGGGGTGGCTAAAAGGAATCTCATAGGAGGAATACAAATAATAAAACTAAACAAGGAGGCTTGCTTACTCGGATTCCACGCGAGATACAGCATGTCGTGCACCAGACCCAGTGCCACATATTATTGGCTCTTTGGAGTAAGATCCCCCCGTATACACCTTCCATTTTCCCTTATGGTCCAAGTAAAACAGTTCCTTGACATATACAAAAGATGATGATGATGATGATTAAATTTAAAAGTAAAGAGAAAGTAGGGCTGAAGCAAACTTGTTGAAAATGATTCATCTCAAATAAAGAGTACTCTTAATAGTTACCTTTTGTTCCTCCCAGGATCCCATCAGTATTCCTCCGGACAATTCGAAGGCAGCCATGACCATACTATGCCACCGCAAAGGGAATCTCTATCCCGTTGTGTTCTTTTTTGTATCGCCGGGACTCCTTTTGCAAAGCCTCGAGCAAGAATTTACCCCCTCCAGAGATGGTGGCAAGGATGCCAGAATTAATCTCAAAGACATTGGGGACATAAGACTTGCAAGTATGATCAGCTGCTATAATGATTCCGTGCTTGATGATAAAAGCTAAAGTACTGGATCCCTCTCCTAGCAGCCCGGGTGGAGGTTCACCGTCATAACGCTACGTAAATGAAAGACACACACCATAATAAGCAACAGAAAAAAGAAAGAAAGAAACCAAAAAACAAAACTTTTAAGTTATAAGGACAATCAAGCTCAAATGCATGCATATTAATTACGGAAAGAAAATGGAAGAAATTAACTAACATCATATCCTGGAATCTTGATGAGGCAGGGATGGGTCGTCCGTCCGTAGCACATTCCATTATTCTATTTCCCTGGTGTTTGGGTTCAATCAATTCAACCAAATCCTTGGGAACAGGTCCCGGGATTAATCCTGGTTCTTCATCATCATCATCATCTGAACTAGTAGAATCCATGGTTCCCACCTGGAAAAGAAAAATCATAATAATAAACAAATAAAATTGTTACTCTCCCCGCCCCAACAAAAAAAATTTGAAAGCATTGTAAATTACAATGACTTTCTATAAAAAAAAAGTAACCTGCAACAACTGGACTATTTATCTTGGACGTAAAATTTTGCCCTAATAATTATGATGGAGGGGACTTACATGGCCTTCTTCCTTTGATCCTTGGCTTTTTGTTGTTCCATCAGCTTCCTCACCTCCTGGGCACTATTAAGCCTCAAAACGGCAGATAGATGTAAATGCATATGAATGACAAAGGAGGATTCCTCCGTCATGTCCAGCTGACAAGCCCCACAACGCCAAATCTGCTCCTTACATGCTTCTTCACCCACAACAACACCATCCTGAACCTGTGCTTCACCCCCATCATCATCAGCATCCCGCCGCTTACGTTTATGTTCTTCCGTGGTCGTCGGTGGCATAGTTTTTTTTTGTTAACGAGCGCTGGGGAGAAAAACGATTACAAATATATATATATATATATATATATATTGTCAGAGAATTCAAGCAAGACAAGACGTAACACACACAAGAATATAAAACGACATCGATTCTACCTAAGGAGGAAGGGGAAGTCGACGAGAGTTGATATGGAGATCTCTAACTGGAGGAAAACGAACAAATCAGTTGGATGAAATTAATGTCAAAGCAGCACACCAGATCTATCGAGCTAGCCCTAATCCTTCCGACCAACCTATCGAATTACACATATCCTAGCCCTACTTGTAACAATATGAATATACAATCAAATAATAAGAAGCAAATAGCACCAGAGTCCCTAAATCTGAGAAAAGAAGAAGAAAACTAAGAAAATTCTCACCGATTTTCCACAAGTTTTCTTCGCCTTTTTGTTTTCGTTTGCGGAGAGCCGGAATTCCCCTCCTATATATATAGATGGGTTATTTACGTTTTGCCCCCGGGGTTTGTGTTCTTATATAATAACCCATCCTTAAGTGTCGACAGTAACCAAAAAAAAAAAAAAAAACAGAAGGTCAAAGAGAAACATAAAGTCGTTCTTCATCGCTGATCATTGATAATCATTTGCTAACGAGTAGTGGTAGTTTTTCAAAATTACTTTTTCGATTATTAATTGGTAGTTATTGTGAGACTGAAAGGAGTATCATCATCAGATTTATTCACCATCATATTCTTTCATCAAATCTATCCCTCTGTTGTACTGATTCAAAATAAGTTGGAGAAAATTTAGGGTTTGTTTGTTTCGTTTTTTTAGTGTGTATTTTTAGATGTTTTTTGTATTGGTAATGTAAAAAAAATGTATTGGAAATATAAAAAATTTTGTTGGGATGAGACAGTTAATAATAATTTAATTGAAAATCTTACTATATTAGAAACAAAAACCACACTTTAGAGAAAGTACCATCATTTGCCATGTGACATTTCCACATCATATTTTTAAAATAAATTTTTATTTACACATCTCCTAGACTTAAAAGGCAAATGCAGTCTAAATCCACCTTCATCTCCTATTTTCACCCCCAAAAAAATTACGTGTTCATAAAAAACCCAAATCCTCATCCCCATCTCCACGACAATCGACTCCCTAATGAATCCCTTCTCCACAATAAAAAAAAAAAAATTTCTCATCAATCATCAATTGAGAATATGTGGTGAAATATACTCCTTTTCTATTAGTTGATTTTTACTTTGAGTTGTGTTTGCTTGAGGACAAGCAAAAATCTAAGTGTGGGGGAGTTTGATAGGTCTTGAAGTTTCATGTTATTTATGGGTATTTGTATAGTATTTTGGATTAGATTGTGTACTTATGTTGTGTATTTTGATGTTTTTGGTTGTTAGGAGTGATTGGAACTGAGATGGAGAAAAATGTTCCATAAACACGCATTTTTGGAGCATTTTGACAAGGAAGCACAAAAAGGGAGCAATGACATCAGATTCTCGTGTGGGCACACGAATCTCAGTCCAAAATTAAGCTTTAGAGAAGAAATTCTAGCATTGATGCTGCATTCCCGCAAACCGAAATAGGGACTAAAATGAAAATTTGAAAAAGTTTTGGGGTCAAAATGTAAGTCTTCCAAACTTGAGGGACCAATTTGCAAATTTCGGAAAAGTTAATTTGATGCTGCGGCTGACCTACTTGTTCCCATATAAATTGATTTTATTCTTTTCTTTTGGAGGGGGGCTGAACGTGAGAATAAGAAGAGGAGGCTGGAGTGGTCCTAAGCGCCAATCTCGCGCTTTTGGGCGTTATTCTTCCACATTCTCCATAGTTTTGTTTCAGTAAGGCATTATTGTGTAACTAAATTACTTTTCCAGTTGAAAGATATTAAAGCCTTGGTTTGAATAGTTGTGAGATCTAAATGTTGTTTCTTTCTCAATTTCTTGTGAGTATTTGCTTGTTCTATTGCATGATTGATATGATTATTGTGGATTCATGAATAGCTGGTAGCATTCGATGCTTCTTAATAATCTAAAACCAATAAGACAACAAGGTTTTTTGTTTAATTAGGGTGTAATATAATTTAATTACTTGATAAGTGATTTTGTTATGTTATAAGAACAAGTAATCTGATTTTTATAAAACAAGGTTTGTTTCAGAGGAATCAGAATTGGGTCTTTGTACTTGATGCAGTCGTTTTCTTAATCTTAGGAGGTTCCAGGATTGAATTTCAACTAGTGTGTTTAATGAAGGTTTTCTTAATCACTAAACTTAGTTCAAGATTGAGTTGTTAGGAGGTTCCAACAACGAAAACTAATTTGCCTATAAGTGATTTAGCATATCATTGCATCTATGATCAATTGTCTAGACCAAGGTGAATATAAAATCTTTTGACTAGAAACTTTCTCATAATTTGCTTTCATTTTTTTTTAACTATCAATTGAATTTTATTTTAACTACATTTTAGTTTTAAAAACTCAAAACCCCCCTTTCGGTTACTTATTTGAAAGAAACGAATCCACTATTCCCTGAGGAGACGACCTTGCTTTCCTATGCTACTAGTTTGAAAGTAGGTTAAATTGTTTGTTGGCTTGACACCCAACCATTTACTTTCAATTTAACTGTGTATACAATAAATTTATATGTCCTTATTCAATTATTACTTTAGTTGGTTTATTTTGATTTATTTGAATTTTAACAGTTATATATGTATGAATAAAATTATACTTTTACGTATAAAAATATGTATATAACGGCTATTTTTAACGGAAATATTATCGGCTATATAATGACCGAAACCTTAAATTTTCTCTATAAATACGTCATTTCTAAATCTCATTTACACATCTTCACAATATTCTCCTTCTTTCTCTTCTTATTTTCTAAGAAAAAATGTCTTTGATTTCTCTCTTTAGCATGATAATAGTTAGTATATATATTGTTATGATATTTTATCTAGAAGAACGCGATGATTTTATTTTTCATTCGGAGTTCTTATAATGTGTATTTTACCACTGTACTTCAGTGCTATATTTACTGAATAAATTATTTTATCTAAAATTGTGTTTCTTTATTGTTTTATTTAGCTGCAAGATGTCTTCCATTTTGTCAAAGTTCAAATTCGAAGTTCTTAAACACACAGGAACAAACTACCTGTCATGGAAAACAGATGTGGAAAGCCATCTGGAATCAAAAGGACATTCGGAAACCATACGTCTTGATAATACTGAATCTCCACAAAATAAAGCAATTGCGATTATATTTATTCGCAAACATATTGATGATGGTGCAAAATCTGGTTACATAAATGTCACAGATCCTTTTGTTATTTAGAAGGATCTTAGTGCGAGATTTGATAACAGGAAAGAAGTGTTGTTAAATATTACTGGTAAAGAATGGAGAGCACATCGATTTCAAGACTTTAAAAAACTTGATGAATATAATTCAGCAATGTTTAAAATTATTTCACAGTTGAGATATTGTGGACGTGATGTCACTGATGCTGAAATGATATATAAAACTTTATCCACATTTCATGCTGCTAATACCACTATTACAGCTACACACAGATTGCTGAAATATAAGACTTATTGTGATCTGTCATATGCACTTCAGTGCGAAGAAAAAGCTCAAGAGCTTCTCATGAAAAATCATCAGTCTAAGTCTAGGCCCACAGGTTCACTGGCATTTCTAGGGCTGTCAACGAACCGAGTCAAGCCCGAATAGTCTAGTGTTCGAGCTCGAGTTCATCAAAAAATTTCATGTTCGAATTTGGGATCGAGTTCGATCAAATACCTAAACTAAGGCTTGAGCTTGACTCAGAGGAAACATAAAATGCTCGTATTCGATTCGTGTTCAGCTCGAATATTTTCGAGTCTCGAGATCGAGGCTCAAATACTCGATATGCTCGTACTGAATTTCACTCAACGACATTTCTATATTCCCACATTTATATAAACCAATGCACCAAATTTTAACAATATTAAAGATCAACCGTCCTAAGTAAAAATTACAGAAAAGTTATAACCAATGAAACCAACCATTTCCTGCATCAAGATAGTGACATTCCTTGTAGGAAACTAGCAAAATAAACATAATCAGATCAATGTTTGTTGATTGACCACAAAATAAGTTCACTCTGAAAGAGCAAACCAAAGATACCAACAACATTGTACTCGAAACCGAACTAGCATTAGAGTTCCATCCTTCGAAATCTATGAAGTCTATAATTAAATGGAAGCAATAGCTTTGAATAAAAGTAACGGTGATGTGAGCATAACAACTCAGTTATCAGCAAAAGTTTGAAGTTCTTCTTCCATACCCTGACAATGAATAAGAGAGAAGACAAGGGTAAGAGCAAATTAACATAAGTTGTTGTAAGTTGAACTAGTTGATGAAGTAGATTAAATTAACAAGACGTTATATTGAGATCATTACTGAATGTGTTCGTCAAGTTTATTTTGAGGAAAATTTTTAAGCAAGTGAATTCAGAAAACCATTATTGGTCAATATTTCAAAAGAAATAAAGGATAAATAACATCACAACAACCATATTAGCAACAAAAAAGAACAAACTCATCATGGCAAAGCTATTCACCAAACATGTGTATGGGTAGTCAAGTCAGAACAAAGTTGTAAGGTTCATCTATCTTGCACATGTTATCAAATAGAATTAAGATGGACAAGAACAATCACCTCTTTTCATAGAAAGAGATCACAAAGCTTAGAGACCAACTTCTTGAAAAATTTTCTCCTTCTGCCATAAAAAAAAGATTAAAGAAAAAAACAGCCCGTTAAGAAGAAAGAAAAGCCATTAAGAACAAACTTTTATATGCAGGATTATGAAGTTTTAGTACTTTAGTCGACTTTTTCACCCCATACTTGTGTCGAAGCCAATCTCCTGTACACAGTAGAACTTGCACAGTTTCAAGAGACAATGAAGCTCGATAAGAATCAAGAATTCTACTTCCTGCACTGCATTAGCCTCAGATGCCACCGTACTAACAG